CAACCCCCTGATGGGCCCTGCTCTGTGCGTGACAGGGGGCAGTGCCCCAACCTCCTGATTGGCCCTGCTCTGTGCATGACACGGGGTGGCACCGCAACCTCCCCATCGACCCTGCCTTGAGTGTGACTGAGGGTGACATCACAACCTCCCGATCCCCCTCTTCTGTGCATGACAGGGGGCGGTGCCCCAACTCCCCAATCGGCCCTGCTCTGAGCCCGACCAGGGGCTGCACCTAGGGATTGGGCCTGCCCTCTGCCACCAGGGAGCAGGCCTAAGCCAGCAGGTCGTTATCTCCCAAGGGGTCCCAGACTGCGAGAGGGCACAGGCCAGGCTGAGGGACTCCCCTCCCCCCCGGAGTGCACAAATTTTTGTGCACTGGGCCTCTAGTAATATTATAATAGCCATGTATGGTGTTAGATGGTAGTAGATTTATTGGGATAATCACTTTGTAAATTATATAAATGTCCAATCACTAGTTTGAGCACCTAAAATTATACTGTACCTCAATTCTAATTGAAAAATAAAAAAATTATTAAAAAAATAATAAAGTGTGTTCATAAATGTAAAAAAAAAATCAAAGTTGTATGATCATTGTAACAAGCTTAATAACAGTCCCCAAAGATATCAGGTCCTAATCCCTGTAATCTATAAATCTTACCTTATATAGAAAAAGGCTCTTTGCAGATGTGATTAAGTTAAAGATCTTGGAATAGGGATTTTATCATAGACTAGAGGCCTGGTGCATGAATTCATACACAGGTGGGGTCCCTCAGGGTGCCCTGCAGAGATCAGGCCCCAGCTCATGCCCCCACCCTTGCAGCCCCAGCTTGTGCCCCCAACCTTGCAGCCCTGTAGCCCCGCCTGGCACCCCACCTTGGCCTGGTGCTGCCCCCTCACCTGCTCCACCATCCAGCCTGCAGGGTGATCGGTTTGGGCCAGACCCCCAGCCCGGCTCCCTCGGTGCCTGGGAGCTGGGCAGTGGCTGGCCCCACTGCCCGCCGCCACTGCTGGTTGCCGTCTGTGGGGTGATCAGTGGGACAATCCGGCCCCCGCTCACACCCGCCTTGATCTGGCGCCACCTGCTCACCTGCTCTACCATCCTGCCATGGTCTTGCTCTCATCAGGGCCCATTAGGGCCAGCAGCAGTGGTAGGGCCAGCAGCACCTCCACTGCTGCCCGCTGCCAGTGCCGCGTTGGTGATGCCTGCCATGTTCCGTGCCACCACCTGGTGGTCAGCGCACACCATAGTGAGCGGTTGAACTCCCAGTCAAAATCTCAGTTGAATGATCACCTGAGGGGACAATTTGTATATTAGGCTTTTATTATATAGGATTATCTGGGTGAGCCTAATATGCAGTCACAAGTGTCCTTAAGAGGGATACAGAGGGACTGTTGACACATGAGAAGAGAAGACAATATGACTATGCAGACAGAATTGGAATGATGCAGCCACAAACTAAGGAACTCTAGCAGCCCTCAGAAACTGGAAGAAGCAAGGTACAGATTCTCCCTTACAGCCTCCAGATGGAATATGGTCCTGCTGACACCTTTTTTGTGGCTCAGTGAAACTATTTTCAAACTTCTGGCTTCCAGAACTATGACAAAATAAAATTCTCTCCTTTTCAACAACTATGTTTGTGGTAATTTGTTACAGCAGCCATAGGAAACTAATATAACTACTAACTACTATGGAAAGGAATTTACAATATCTAGCGAAATTATATATGTCATTATCCTTTGATTCAATAATGTAATTTTCATAAATAATATATATGTATGTATATATATGTTATATATATATATATCTTGAAGATCTACTTGCTATAACACAAAAGATATAATATACACATCAATATACATATACATACAGATATATATTAATTTATAGTGTTATCTTTATTGTAAAAGAAGAAACCTAAATACAGGGTGGGGCAAAAGTAGGTTTATAGTTGTGAGTATGCAAAACACAGTTTATTTTTATATTATTTATTTGTTATTGTATTGTTTTCCATCCTAACAAATCTAAACCTACTTTTGCCCCACCCTGTATATATCAATAGGAGGAGATGAATGCCTAAACTGTGACAGAACCACACAACACTGTATAATCAGAAGCCTCAGAAGAATGGCCCTGGCTAGGTGGCTCAGTTGGTTGGGACATTGTCTCATACATCAAAAGATTGTGGATCTAATTCATGGTCAGGGCACGTACCTAGGTTGTGGGTTTGATCCCCAGTCAAGGTGTATAGGAGGAAACTGATCAATGTTTCTTTCCTTCCCCTCTCTCTCTAAAATTAATAAACATATCCTTGGGTAAGGATTAAAAAAGAAGAATGAATAACTCCACAAAGGGTTATGGAAGGATCTCCAAACTAACCCATGGACCAGTGACAGACACACAGGGCACCTTCCTTCTTACCAACATTGGTGTCATTTCAGTGTGTAAATGGACTAGTCAGAGTCCCATGGAAGCAAATTTGTCCTTAATCTTGACTGCCTCAGACCCCTGAAGTGTCCAGTCAGTTACCTCTGAGCCTTGTCTGCTCACCCGGGAGCCCCACTATTGACTCAAGTCAAGCTGGACTCCCTGTTCCCTCCCTCCCATCCAGCCTCCATTAGTCCTGCCCGTTGTACCAGGCCCAGCTCCTCTTTGAGGAGTCTCAGACAACTCCACTGAGGCCTACGGAGGTTCTACAGAGGTCACCATAACTTTCACAAGGACCTGGACCATGTGAAACCTTTACTGTGAATTCTGTAGCCCCTGGGTCACTGGAGGTGTGAAGAGTGACAGATGCTCAGTGAACACCTGTGTGAAAATGCAGGTCATGGCAGGGGAAGGAACTCTCCCTGGGATGGCTCAGGCACTGGGACCTGGAAGAGCTCCTGAATGTCACTGCAGTGTCTCTCCTTGCAGACCCCCAGTCACCTCTTCCTAGAACTTTAAGTAGGTTCCAGACTCCAGATACCGAGCATTCCTTAGATGTGGAGAGAGGGCATCAACAGAGGACAGGAAAAGAAAGCACAATTATTCAATCAATATATATAATACTAGAGGCCCGATGCACGAAATTCATGCAAGAGTAGGCCTTTCTTCCCCTGGCTGCAGGCACCGGCTTCCCTCTGGCATCCAGGACCCGGGCTTCCCTCACAGCCCCAGCTTTGTCTGGAAGCTTGTCCAGAAGGATGTCTGGAAAGACGTCAGGTCTAATTAGCATATTATGCTTTTATTATTATAGATATATCAATATTACCAGTAAACTCAAGAATAATAGTGTGTGTGTGTAGTGAAAAGTTGCATAACTATTATATTTTGTTTAGGGAAGCTAAGAGAGTAGATTTTAAAAATTCTCATCACAAGAAAAAATATTATAGCCATATATGATGATGGATGTTAAGTAGACTTGTGATCATTTTGCAATATGAACAAATATTGAATCATTATCTTATATACCTAAAACTAATATAATATGTCAATTATCTTATTTAAAATGACAGACAATTCACATAAAAAATTATATAAATCCCCAACAAATACTTGGAAACACACCAACACAAATAAATAAAATGAAAATAATAATATTTAGTCAATCAGACAAGTAATAAATTATAATGTATAATATGGTCTCATTATACAAAATAATATATATATCAGCATGGGTTTATAGATGTGTGATTGTAAGTTCAGTGTATTACAGAGAAAATAATCTGGAGAATAGGTATCAATAACTTAACAGAAACTATCACTGTATTATGTTGGGGGCAAAGGGAGAGGCAGAATAATTTTAACTTATAATATACATTTTGATATTGTTTGATATGTGTTAAACAAAAAAAGAATTAACTGGTGATGTGATAAATACTGAAAGGGGGGGGTGGTGCGCTGGCCTGAAGGTCATTGGCACACATCCTTGAGCAAAACAAAGGAGTACTCATTGCATCTGAAACAGAGAAAGATATTCCCACAATAGGTAACAAGCTTGACACAGGCTGTGTGTGGGCTCTTTATCTCTAGGTAAGGAAGTATTCCAGGCCTGAGGTCCATTCTTCTGTGGCTAAGTGAGGGTTGAAAGACTATGCCCCTGAGACTTTCTTTCCCAACAGGCAGGAATATAGCAGGATCACCACAGTGTGTAGAAAATTTCAGAAAGCTTTGGCCTGTGCAATGGAATTCATACACCTCCCTCCTACCCTCCTATTACCTCACCCTTTGTCAGGACCCCTAGAAGAGACTTCCACGCCTGCAATTCTGACTCTGATCACCAGGTGGCATCTTTTGCCATTTAATACAGGTTATTTTTATCCCAATGAAAAGTCATAATTTTTATAAACAGAAAATGTTTCCTTCAAAGCAGATTATGAAATAGTAAGTACTGAGTGATCATAACTCTCTTTGAAAAATTCATGTTTATAAAAAGACTAGGGGCCCAGTGCACAAATTTGTGCACCTTGAAAGGAACTGTGGGCGGCAAGGCTGCAGTGGGCACAGGGGCAGGTCTTGGCCTATTCTCCAAGCCCACGCCCAGCCTTTCCCACCATGGCCCCCAGTTCTCTGTCTGCTGGCAGCCCTGCTCCTGCCACTGCTGCTCCCACACACTGATGGTGCCAGCCCCGCTCACACCCACTGGTGGCACAGAGCGATTGGTGCCGGCATCATCAGCGGGTGCAAGTGGGGCCAGCACCGTCAGTGGGTGTGAGCAGCAGCTGCTGCCCCAATTGCCCCTCAGGAACAGGGGGAAGTAGAGAACCCCTCAGGGGCAGTCAGGGCCAGCAGCCGCCGTTCACACCCACTGAGGGCGCTGAGCGATCGGGACCAGCACCGGGCACCAACAGCAGGTGCAAGCGGTGGTTCTGGCGCTGGCTGCTGGTGCGAGCAGAGCTGTCATCGGCAGCGGGTGTGAGAGGTGGCTGCTGGCCCCGATCACCCCTCAAGAGCAGGGGGAGGTGGAGAAGCCCTGAGGGGTGATCGGGGCCGGCAGCTGCCGCTCGCATCCACTGATGGCGCCGAGCAATTGGGGCCCATGCTGGGTGTTGGCAGCGGGTGTGAGCACTGGGCGGGACCATGGCACTCGGGAGCAAAGAATTTTCAGTAACTAGGCTCACCCCGATGACAGCGACAGGCGCCCTGCCTTGGTCTGGCACCCCCGCTCACCTGCTTCACCATCCTGCCATGGCTGATGCCTGCAATGTTCCGCATGTGCTCCCTGGTGGTCAGCGCATGTCATAGTGACCGGTTGTTCAGTTGTTCCGCCATTCGGTCTATTTGCTTATTAGGATTTTATATATGTAGATTGAGATGATAATCTTATTCTGCTTATTCCTGCATCTATGCTTCATTAATTGATTAATGTGTGCTGGGTGTTTACTGGGCCAGGCATTGACATGTCAGTGGAATTCCATAATTGCATCCTGCACCTTGCTTCCTGATCTCTAGACCTGAAATCTGAAATGTTCACAGGGAGCAAGATGGATATTAGTGTCTACCCTATGGTGTCTGACGTACAATGGACTCCATTCCAAGCAAGTTTGGTCCTGAGTCCTGGAAATTCAGCATCTAAGGAGAAAATCATGTGATTGAAAAGGGAGAACTTGAACCTTGGGAAAGTGCTGTACCTGTAACCCACCCCCCCCTCCTCATGCGTAGCACCAATAGGCTCCTACCTTCTCTTCACAGGTCCTCACTCACAGACAGATTACGAAGAGCAAGGTAACCCTTGTCAGGTTTCAATATTGCTTTTTCTCATGGCAGGAACTACCTACAGCTTTTACTTTTTACTTTAGCCCTTTATTAGATCACAGTGGTGGATTTCCAAACCGGTTTTGTACCTGCCTTATCCCTAGAGGGAAGTCACGCCCCCTTGTATTGTGAGGTGACATGGAGTTTCTGCTTCATGTTAAGACCTCCTCTCTCAGTTGGGAGGGCCTGGGCCCAGATCCAAGGAGACAGAAAGGAGTAGAGCCAGAGTTCTCAAAGACAAGCACAGGACTAGGAACCCTGTACAAAGATCTAATTCTCCTGATTTAGTGAAATGGTTTTCACAGATTTCTCATATCATATTCACCTCCCCTCAGGGTTCCTCTTAGATAGTCTGTGAGGAAAGAGGTTATCTCATTCATTGCTGGAGACAATGTAAAATTCCTGAGGAGGGGACTTGATATTATCTAGTAAAATCACATACATATTATTGGAATCAGAAATCACTCTTCTGACAATCTATCCCAAAGAAACAATGCAAAAGGCAAAAGGGCATAAGTGCAAAACTATTCCTTGCAGAACAATTCATAACAATAGGAGACTAGAAACACCACAAATGTCTACCAATAAGGGACTAGTTGAATAATTTAAAATATGTCTACATCCTAGAGTACTATGCAGCTTTAAAATGAGGACTCCCTCTCTAAACTGCTACATAGTAATCTCCAAGATACATTGTTCAGTGAAAAATAAGGTGAAGAAAAGTATGTAGAGCTGCTCCTGTCCAATACAGTAGCCACTCACCTACTTTACATTTAATAAATCAAATTTAAATAAAATTGTAAACTCAGTTTCTCACTAGTGCTCACCAGAATTTATATCAGACAGTGCAGATACAGAACGGTTTCACTTCCACAGAAATTTCTATTGGACTGCATTGGTGTAGAATATGCTACCTTTTACTTCTGAACAGAACTTAAAAAACTAATACACATGCTATGTTTGATTACATTTTCAGAAACTGGAAGGATAAACAAAAACTGATAAAAAGTGATTACCTATAAGGGGACAGAGGAACAGCCCATGATGGAAGCCAATGATGTATGTATTCTCTTAAAAATACAGAATAGAACTTCTGGTTCCAGTCCTGTATGTAAGAAGATAGAAGTTGACAATCCATTCTAACAAGTTAAAAAGGTGAGCAAAATATTGCTTTGTGTTTTGGTCTTTACAAGGATAAATTGTCCAGATTTTTTAAAAAATCTACTGCAGAGACATGGGATAGCTGGCTGTGTGATCTCAGAAGTTTGAAAGAACCCCTCTGTGCTTCAGTTTCCTCTTCTGTAGTATGAGGAAACCAATCATTTCTACCTTATGGGTTGTGGTTTTGAGAATTAATTCAGTTTGTACATGAAAACACTTAGAACTCTTCTAGGCACACAGTAATAGCTCAAAAATTTCTAGCTGTTTTTTAAAAAATAGAATGTGATATTTTTATAATTTTATAGTTTGCATATGTGTTTAAAAGATTAAGTCTTGCAACTGATTGATAGATCTCAGAGGGAAGGTGGTGGGGGTGGGAGGTTGGGAAGAGATTAACCAAAGAATTTATATGCATATATGCATAGCCCATGGACACAGACAATAGTGTGGTGAAGGCCTGGGGTGGGGTGGGAACTGAGTAGAGGGGGCAATAGGGGGAAAATGGGGAACATCTGTATACTCTCAGCAATATAGATGAAAAAGAGTCTTACAACTGAAAATTATGCATCAACTGATGCATGTTTTAAATCACTAGTTTTCAGGATAACCACTCTTAGGTACCCAAGTGATTATCATGAGAACATCTCTAAAGCACTTGGACCAACTGATCTCAGGAAACTCCACCACCATTTCTGCATATGGCTGAACAGAAAGGTGAGGGCTCACCCAGGATCCTGCCTGCTCCTCACATGCCCTCTATGCACAGCCACTGCAGGTGCCCCACCTGCAGCACACCCTGTCCAGGGCCACCCCTGTCCTCTGCACACTGCTGCAGCACTGGGCCAATCCACCTTCGTCCCTCACCTGGAGGCTGCATGGTTCCCCTAATGGTTATCTCCACAGCTATCTTGTCTTGAACAGTCCATTCTCCACACAGCAGCCAGTCACCTTCTGAGAACATGAATCGGAGCATGTCACTCCCACACTCCACCCTCCACCCTCAGAAAAAACTCGTTGCAAGGCCCAAATGATGTGTCTTCTGTCTGCCCTTTGACCTCCTCCATCTGCACTTTGCCAGGCTCCAGCCACCGGAGCTTGGTATCTTCTCCTGGAACACCTGGTGCCATGCACATCGCAGGGCCAGTGACCCAAAGACATGCCAGGCCTGCTTTCCTCTTGTCATGAAGGACTCAGCTCCAATGTCACTTCCTGAGAAAGACCTTCACTGACAGCCCATCTATAGTAATCCCTGTCCCCATCATTCTCTACCCTATTTATGTTTGCTTTCTTCAAAGCACTCATCCCCATATGAAATTGCCATGCTTACTGAGGTGTTTACCTGCTTACTGCCTGCTTTCCCAAACTAGAATGGAACTCCAGGGCTCCTGCCTATGTTGCTCTCTGTGCTGTGTTCCCCGTGCCTCCTTCAGTGCTTCATATATAAATCTGTGACTTAATATTACATAAATAAACAAGTTGCTACCTATTTGTTGACAGGAGCAGACACAGATATTTAAATTTGAGTTGCAGAAGTTGACAAGGAAATTAGACATCAAAGGATTGAAAATTTTAAGAAGTGTTCGTTGCAAATTCAGAGCAGTGCCTTTTAAACCTGGATGAATACCAAAAACAATTGGAGTTATTACTCAAAATGTATACACCTTCTCCCCACCACCCTGGTTCTGATTCAGCAGACCTAGAGTAGACCAAGGAATCTGGAATTTTAACACGCACTCACTGATGATTTTAATGAAGTGGTCTGAGGACCACACTTGGAAAAATCCTGACCTGACATTTGTGTAGCATTAATTTAATGTCTACCATGCAGAGTTCTATAGTATCTGAAGTATCTCTGTTAATATAATTACTCAAAGGTGCACTAGTCCTTCCCTCTCTCCAACAACCACAGCTTGCTTTCCTACCTGGATTAGACCTAACTCCACAATGTTCCTAGGTGGTTGGCAGCATTGAGTATTGTTTTCCTGTTGAATAGAAGACACTGGAGGAAAGGGTAGTGACTTACCTGAAGGGTCCCAATGATGGGAATCCTCACTCTCACTCCAGGAGTCTGTCTAGCACATTTGGCATCACATTTGGTCCTTCTCCATCAGAGTCCACACCTTTCTCTGACTTTCTACTAGAAGGGAGAGTCAGGGGATAAGACAGAACATGGAACAGAGAGGAATGTGAGAGGACAGGAAAGTGCATGAAATGCAGGGAAAGGGGTGAAGATGTACTTGCCTGTTCCCACTCAGTTCACTGGAGGCTGTGCAATGACGTCTTGCCTCTTCCCCAGCTGATCACAGCCCTCACAGCAGTGACACTGAAGTTCACACATTGTGGAAATGTGGGCTCATCCCTGCTTGCTGTCACAAGTCCCAGTGTTCTCTCTGGTAGTCATGCTATGATGCTAATGCCAGAGGCATCACACTGACAGGGGAAAAAGTTAAAGTGGGAATGGAGAAATAAAATTTAGCAAGGGCATATTATGTGCCACAAATTATAGGTTGTTATTTTCAGACTTTTTCTCTTCAAGTTCTCAAAGTGATGTTCTGAGGTGGGCATATTTACCTCCTTTCTATAGAATTGGAGATAACCTCAGAGAGCAAAGTACATGTTCAAAGGAGGTGTCAAATGGACACAGCAGCCAACTTGAAGGCACTTTCATTGGCCAAATCTGAGACAATTTTTATAATAATTATTTTTTATTATTTTTTTAAATCCTCACTCTCTACCTGAGGACATGCTGAGAGAAAGAAAGACAGAGAGAGAGAGAGAGAGAGAGAGAGAGAGAGAGAGAGAGAGAGAGAGAGAGAGAATCAGTTGCCTGTTGTATGTTCCTGACTGGGGATCAAACCTACAACCCAGGTATCTGCCCTGACTGGGAACTGAACCAGCAACCTTTCAGTGTACAGAATAATGCTCAACCAACTGAGCCACTGCAGCCTGGCAACAATTTGAGCATCAAAATAAATAATTATAGTGTCAGATGGTAACCCTTAGATCTAAATTGGAATCTATGAATTATAATGATATCCTATATAATAAAGAGTTAATATGCAAATTGACTGTCATATCCTCACACAAGATGGCCATCCCCAGGTCAAAGATGGCCGCCACAAGATGGCTGGCAGGGGAGGGCAGTTGGGGGTGATCAGGCCTGCAGGGGAGGGCAGTTAGGGGCGACCAGGCTGGCAAGGGGGGGTAGCTAGGAGTGACCAGGCCAGCAGGGAAGGGCAGTTAGGGGTGACCAGGCCAGCAGAGGAGGGCAGTTGGGGGTAACCAGGCCAGCAGAGGAGGGCAGTTGGGAGTGATCAGGCTGGCAGGCAGAAACGGTTAGGGGCAATTAGGCAGGCAGGCAGGTGAGCGGTTGGGAGCCAGCAGTCCTGGATTGTGAGAGGGATCAGGCCTAAAACGGCAGTTGGACATCTCCCAAGGGGTCCCAGCCTGAGAGGGTGCAGGCTGGACTGAGGGACACCCTCTCCCCACTGTACAAATTTCATGCACCAGGCCTCTAGTATAAAAATAAATAAATAAATAAATAAATAAATAAATAAATAAATAAATAAGAAAAGAAAGCTCTACCTCCAGTCAAATTTCAATTAATAAACCTGGAAAGAATGAGAGAATTATAAGAGTAATATTTGACAACAGAGTAACAGGTGATTCAGGTTAGAATTATAAAATGATGTTCAATCTGTGCCATCCCACACTGCAGTCAAGAGCCACCATGGTAACCATGCTGGCCAAGTGAAGCTGTAGAAAAAAACCACTACTATTATTTAGTTCCTATTATGTGTTATGAAGTGAATAGGACTGACATGATCACAGTAATTCAACTCAAGTATTCCTCACAATAATGACTCCTAGCAGCTTCAGCAATCTACACACATACAAACATACTTACTCATACATGCTGTCTCTTTTCATCTGTCTCACCATCCAAAAATCTAGGAATTCATTGAGGTGGATTTGCTGGGAGACAAAAAAGAAAAACCCCACAATTCAACTGGTTCAATTCTAACCATACATATAAAGTTGAAAGTTACCATAAGTATTTTCTTTTAGTGATTGATTTTTCTAGCGATGACCTGTAGAATTTTCTTGGTGACATTTTTCTCTCTAGTATCAGTACATTGCCAATAATGCCTAGAAGCTGATATAGAAACACAGTCAAATTTATATTGTGCATGAAGTAGCTTTTCCATCCTAGAATAGCCTGTGCTTTTGACCAAAAAGTTCATGCTATTATTAAACATTTGGCTGCTGACAGGTCAGTAAAAATATAATAATTGGGAATTCTCTTTACAAATAATGCCTTTTACAATAGTATCAAAAAGTATGAAATGCTTATGGATAATCTGTCTACAGATATGCAAAGCCTATTAATTAAACACTACATGACATTGCTCAGAAAAATTGAAGAAAATCTAGGTAAATGGAGAGAAAACTATCTTTGTGGTTCGGAAGACTCTATATTATAAAGGTATCACTTTACCCCAAATTGATCTATATATAGTTTATGCAATCCCAATAAAAATCTAGCAAATATATTTTTTAAAGAATCAACAGGCTAATTCTAAAGTTCATGTAGAAATTCAGAGGCCTTAAAAGAGCAAATAATTTTTTTTAAAAAAAGAATGCAGAAGACCTAGACTATGAAAAATAACTTAGAAAAATAAAGTTAGAGGATGAATATTCCCAGATTTGAAGACTCATAATAAACCTACCATAATCAAGGTAGTGTGGTATTATAAATTAAAATAAAAATTTTGCCCTGACCGGTGTGGCTCAGTGGATGGAGCATAGGCCTACGGACTGGGGGGTCCTGGGTTCGATTCCGGTCAAGGGCATGTGCGTTGGTTGTGGGCACATCCCCAGTGGGGGGTGTGCAGGAGGCAGCTGATGGATGTTTCTCTCTCATTGATGTTTCTAGCTCTCTATCCCTCTCCCTTCCTCTCTGTGAAAAATCAATAAAATATATTTTTAAAAAATAAAATTAAATTAAAATTTGATACCATTACAACTTCACAAGAATTGCTAAGATTAAAAAGACTGTCCATACCAAGCACTGTCAAGGTCACGGAGATGAAACTCATATACACTGCTGTTGGCAATGAAAAATGGTACAACCAGTTTGGCAGTTTCTTAACAATGGTAGTCTCACATCTACCATCTGATTCAATCATTGCACTCCTAAGAATTTACCCTCGAGAAACAGAGCATGCAAAAACTTATACACCAATGTTCATTGGAGCTTTCTTTAAAAAAACAAATTTAGAAAAAATTATATCCATATATTCATCATAGTATAAAAAGAATGAACTATTAATACATGCAAAAAATGGATACTCTAAATAGGCTGAATGAAAGTAGCCAGGCCAAACCTAACAAAACAAAAAAGTTTAATGCTACCTAAATAAAACTATAGGACACAAAAACTAATCTATGGTGAGAGAAGATCAATGGTTGCCTAGGTACACAGCAGAGTGAGGGGGAGGGAGGCCAGGTCATAAAGAACTGAAACTGGTATGTACTGGAAAAGTAAACATAACTATATTTAAGAGTATCTGGTTATTTTAAAAGATAATGGCTAGGTATCAGTATAATAAGACATGCTAAAGTAATTATTACTTAAAATAAAAATTTCTTATAACTGACATTTTAAAATAACATTTAGAAAAATTCCTGACTTGCTAAATGTTTTAATTATAGAATAGATAAAAATGTGTGGGCCAGGGAAGAAACTATATAACAATCTCAAATTTCTAGGAAGACTTTCTAACCAAATGTATATTTCAACACCCATCTAAAAGAAACATGGAAATTACTGAATCATATTACTAGTGAGAACCATTTGGTCTGTTTATTACAAATGCATGTGAAAGATCACATTTCTTCCTCAGGATGGACAATTTATTACTTTCAGACAAAAGTGGACATGTTTAAGGTGGGCCTCCGGGCTACTACAAACCTTGTAGCTACTGATGGAATGACATTCCACCAGCTAAACCGCTTTTCTGCCCCACCCCCATAAGATCAAAGCAGCTTCTCTACTTTGGGGCTGGTGTGTGACCCCCACAGGAGCGATCCCACTACCTGCTTTTATCAGGTCCATGAACTCACCGGAGCCAGGTGTCCTGTCCCACTGCGGATGTGAAGTGTCGGGGTCTCCTGAGGACCGCTGTCCTGGAACCTGGAGCAGAAGCCTCAGCAGCCACCTGGACACAGATCTTCAGAACCTGCCTGCGTCAGACACCTGACAGGAGCTGGGCCGCCGGCATGAGGGGCTGCGTGGGGAGAGACAGATCCAGCATCACTATGCTTTCGTGGTGTGACTAAGTGCCCCCACCAGGCGAGGCACTGGGCTAGTGACACTGACACTAACACGAGTGGGTAGTGGTCCTAACAACCAGATGTGATGACGGGCTGCTCACAGAGCCCTTTCTCCTTCCCTAACAACAAAGTTGGAAAGGAGTAAGGAGTGGCCTGGATTCATACAGGCATCCTGATCCCGCAATAACCACAGGGCCGAGGGCTTACTCATGTGTCATCACTGCACGTTCACAGCCACCCTGTGGGTTAAACATTATTATCCCGGGTTCACAAAGGGGGCGCTGGGGCTCAGAGAGAGTCCTTACCAGTCTTACCTCAGGAGCCCCTGCCTTTGGAAAGTAGCTGCAGGACACCACACTCACTGGAGCCTGGTGGGACCACGCTGGCTTTACCTATGAGACCACCGAGGGACCGAACCTTAAAGCGGGAAAGAGGAAACTTAGGTCTGGATCTCCTTTGTCTTCCGACATCCCAGGACGATTCAACCCCCACGGCCAACACCCACAACCTCTGAGTCTCCAATGTCTGAAGGCGGGGCCTGCTTTTAGGCCAGGCCAGGTCTCTTATAAAAAGTCGTCACAGTCGCCATGTCGACGTCAGGTTTCTATGGCAACCAGGATGCGAAGCCTCATTCTTCATATCAGAAATGCCTTCGCACATCCTTCCACCCCCTGGCCCTTAGCTGGAAGCAAAACACCTTTCCTCTTCAGGCCGCTATGGGAGAAAGCACACTAATTAGAGGCACTAGACTGGGAGCCAGACAATTGGCGGAACTCTGCCCGATTTGTTGAAACATGAGCCTGTTGTCAGGAATTGTTTTTTATTTACAGTGAGACTGTGGCCCTGGCCGCTGTGGCTCAGTTGGTTGAGCATCTTCCCATGCACTAAGTTGCAGGTTGATTCCTGGTCAGGGCACCTGTCCCGATTGCGGGCTCATCCCCGGTAGGGGGCATGCGAGGGGCAGCAAATCAATGCTTCCCTATCATCCATGTTTCTCTCTCTCTCTCTCTCTCTCTCTCTCTCTCTCTCTCTCTCTCTCTCTCTCTCTCTCTCTCCCTCCCTCCCTTCCTTTCCTTTCCTTGTCAAAAATCAATTATGTGCCAGAACCGGTTTGGCTCAGTGGATAGAGCGTCAGCCTGCGGACTCAGGGGTCCCGGGTTCGATTCCGGTCAGGGGCATGTACCTTGGTTGCGGCACATCCCCAGTGGGGGGCGTGCAGGAGGCAGCTGATCGATGTTTCTCTCTCATCGATGTTTCTGGCTCTCTATCCCTCTCCCTTCCTCTCTGTAAAAAATCAATAAAATATAGAAAAAAATCAATTATGTGTGTGTGTGTGTGTGTGTGTGTGTGTGTGTGTGTGTATATATATATATATATATATATATATATATATATATATATATATATATTAAGTGATACAGTAGGGGAGTATTATTAGTAAACAGAGACCCAGGGAGGAGCCTGTGGTTCTTAGAGATAAGCTAGCCTCAGAGAGTGAACGTGCAAATCAAGGTCTAACTGTGCAGCTTTGATTGGACAGGGAAGGTTTCAGCCCACTGGTCAAAATACAATTCCAGGAACTCCTTTATAAGGGCTGGCTCAGCAGGCAGGAACCCAGTGCAGGAGGCTTGGCAGCCTAGCCTGAGGCTTTTCCCTGATATGCAATGTGCTTCAGAGGCCTCTGTAAACAATTGCTGCTAGACTCTATGAATTTGTGCCCTGTTAACCACAAGGAGTCCTTTTAGTAGGTATATTTTTCTTGGGGTTCAACAAAAATCATAAGCCATCATAAGCAGCCATCTGTGGCAGAGAACTAATAACTGTGTATAATCATGTGACTTAATGGTATAGAAACATACACATATAATTTCATTTAAGCAATTTGGGAATTATTTCAAGGAAACAGGACTAGAATATTCTAGTTACTTAGTAGGCAGAAACTTAGTCACTTGAACATTTGGTTTGTCATGGGAAATTTCGATCATCCCTGATAATTTTTTTTATGCGGAGGGGCATCCATACCCCAAACACTTCTATTTTCTCTATGCACTCAATTCTTTATCACGGGAATAACCTGATTAGTGAGACTGGAAAGAGAAAAACATTACACAGCCCAAACCCTCTCCCTTTAAAACGCTTGGTGGTAAGTTGCCCTTATGAAGCAAATCTTCTGCTCTGCCCTCAGGAGTGGATCTTACAATTGACTCTGAGTTCTTCTTTCCTTTCTGTACCTTGCTGGCTCCTACCTATTCCTCTGGCCTTGCTCCAAAATGCTTATGCTTTAAAGCTCCCCCGTCCCATACATTCCTGCTGTATGTCTGAGCTCTAAACCAACTAAGAAATATGAAAAAAGAATAAGGAGAATAACGTATCTACTTTATTCCTTATAAAAATGATATTAGAGAAAGTGGTTTAGATCTGCAAGCAAGTCATTTCCTATTAATAAACCCTAGAATTGGACAGACTTATCCACCTAGCAGTGCTGCATTGGGACAGTTACAAAGGCCAAGGGCTGAAATACATATCCATCTGCTGTTTGGTAAAGGAACCCTGTCTATGAGTCCCCAGTGAAAGAAATTCCTTGTAAAGCTGTCCCTGTGGCAAGATAAAGTAGGACCACCTCTTAAAAGGATACTTCCCAAAGTGAATAAATACCCCTTGTTCTGTTTAAATCAGCGTCATGACCCCTTTGGCGGTCGAACGACCCTTTCACAGGGGTTGCCTAAGACCATCCTGCATATCAGATATTTACATTATGATTCATACCAGTAGCAACATTACAGTTATGAAGTAGCAACGAAAATAATTTTATGGTTGGGGGTCACCACAACATGAGGAACTGTATTTAAAGGGCCAGAAGGTTGAGAACCACTGATGTAGACTAGAGCGTCACACAGGGCAAAGGGATAGGAAATGGGGCAAAGAGAGAGGCTCCTCGAAATGTGCTATTTTCTTCAGTGAAGTTTTGTTTAACTGAATTGAATTGAATGTAGTCACTGAATATAGAATTCAGGTGAGCCTGCAGCATGACTGTTAAAGTAATTTCTTGGACTTGCATGGAAAAGCATTTTCTTTCTGGAAACTTGGTGTTTTTCTGGATGGAAATTACTTTATTCTCTGGCCCCATCCTAGCTGGCTGGGACAAAAGGCTGGTGTGTGCCTCTTGGACAGTTGAGGCCACTGGGTGAGGTGGTAATTCCAAGGTCTTCCCAGAGTTAGGAGGTGAGGCCTGCCACCAAGACCCAGGAAGATGCCCTGGCTTGTACTGCAAGGTCCTTTCCAAAATACACAGAAATAGCTTTGACCTGATATAGCCCCTCACCTTTCAAGGTATCAAGGGAAAACTGTTTCTCTGAAGTTACCTGCAAGGAGAAGTAAGGGAACATGACAGCGCATGGCACAAGAGGAATCAGGATGGTGATTTTCTTCCTTCCCTCCAAATCTTCCAGGGAGGAGAGAAGAAAATAGCACATTTCGAGGAGCCTCTCTCTTTGCCCCCTTTCCTATCCCTCTGCCTTGCCCTTTGTGACAGTAGAGAAATGTAGACAGAAGTCAGGAATCTGGGATGCCCCGAGAGAGGGACAGAAAAATGGAAAGTGCCTGACAACCAGAATGGTGCATCAGGAAACACAGGTACAGGAGTCGATCCCTGGGGTGTAGATTCATCCACCAAGCTCTCAGTCTCCGTCTGCTTCTGCTGAGGTTCCGTCACTACCACATAGCAATGAAGCTTGCACATAACACAATGCATATTGTTGAAGAGGGGCTAAGAGGAGCGAAGTGACTTACCTGTGAGATGTGAATGTCAGTTACTGTTCAGGGCCTGGCAGTGGCACCCAGGGAAATCTCCTGTCTCTGTTGCTCCAATTTCCTATCTAGTAGACATGTATTAGGATTTGATCTCACTCTTCAGGAGCACAAGGGAAACACTCTTCTCTAAATAAAACAAGGGGATAAGAAGAGGGGACAGGGAGAGAAACCAAGATGGCAGCATAGGTAAACACCGGAGTTTGCTGCCTCGAACAACCACTTCAAAAATACAACTAAAAGACGGAACGGACATCATCCAGAACCACAGGAAGGCTGGCTGAGTGGAAGTTCTACAACTAGGAGGAAAGAGAAAAGCATACTGAGACTCAGAGGAGGCACAGTGCTGAAGTAAAATACTAAGGTGCGGAGTGCATGCGGAGCGGGCTGGTGGCTGAGGGTGTGGTTGTTGTTTTCAATCGGAAGGGAGTCTCAGGCTCTGAGCTCCAGTTCCAGGCGAGTCTCTAGGGACCCAGACTCAAAGGGGAGAAGCGGGACTGTCTGGCATTGCTCAGAACCCTAGGGCAGCTTGCTCTCTGTGGGGCTTGCAGCGATTACTGGGACACTGAGAAGCAGAGCCTCTGAGGGCAAGACTGAGAGCAGCCATAATTGCTAAGCCCGCCCTGTTGATCCCATGGGACCCGCCCCGCCCAAGCCCTGCAGGGAGACTTTTGCTGGATAGCCTCAGGCAAAGGCTAGATTAGCACCTCCCTAGAGATCCAGGAGCCAGGAAGCCCAGAGGTCAGAGTGGGACCATCCAGTTTGCAGCTCCATGGAACCATAAAAGACACACTCAGGGAGCAGACTCAGTGAACACCAAAGCCCCATCGAAGCAAGTCTAGCCCCAGAGTGGTGTCTCCAGCACAGAAGTTCTCCCACTGCAGACACAGCTGATTCTCACAGCCAATTGTCCTGGAGGTCAATTCCTCACAGTGATAACTACAACAATCAAGGCTTAATTACAACAAGACTGTGCACAAAGCCCACAAGGGGGTGCACCAAGAGTGTCTACCTCAGGTAATTGGGACACTTAGCACAGAAAGGCACTCTATTGACACAGCGAAGCATAAAAAATGCCAAGACAAAGAAACAGGACACAAACGACAGAATTGGAGGAAAGCAAACTGCTGGATATAGAGTTCAAAACCACACTTTTAAGGTCTTTAAAGAACTGTCTAGAAGCCGCCGATAAACTTAATAAGGCCCTCGAAAAGACTGGTGAGACTGCCGATAAATGTAGTGAGATCTTCAAGAAGACTGGTGAGACTGTGGATAAATGTAGTGAGATCCTCAAGAAATCTAATGAGACCCTCGATATTGTGATAAAGGACCAACTAGAAATTAAGCATACACTGACTGAAATAAAGAACATTATACAGATTCCCAACAGCAGACCAGAGGATCGCAAGAATCAAGTCAAAGATTTGAAATACGAAGAAGCAAAAAACACCCAACTGGAAAAGCAAAATGAAAAAAGAATCCAAAAATATGAAGATAGTGTAAGGAGCCTCTGGGACATCTTCAAACGTACCAACATCAGAATTATAGGGGTGCCAGAAGAAGAGAGAGAGCAAGATATCGAAAACCTATTTGAAGAAATAATGACAGAAAACTTACCCCACCTGGTGAAAGAAATAGACTTACAAGTCCAGGAAGTGCAGAGAACCCCAAACAAAAGGAATCCAAAGAGGACCACACCAAGACATTTCATAATTAAAATGCCAAGAGCAAAAGACAAAGAGAGA